GAGGAGTCATTTGAATAAAACACAGGTTTTGATGTATTACTGAAGCCTTGTAGAGAAGCTTAATCTCACAAGATACTTGCCACAGCACACTTAACACATGATACAAGTATGGATTTGTGGGACCTGCGATTAGTTTCTCAAACTGGCTTTCACTAATAAACATATATAGCTCTACTCGGCCATATCTATATATAGAAGAACAAGTATACATATCATGTAAAAGTTTCCAAAGTGCCTTTCTCTCATTCTTCACAGGGAGCATTCCAACTACTTTAAAAGGAGTATCTTCTAACCAGGAATTTGCTTTTATTCCCAAACTTGGATAAAGCTCTTGTGAAAGCACAACAGGCGGTCTCACCAGATTATGATTGCTAGGATCCATTTTAAAAAAGTCACAATGGACCACTTCTAGTCTTCCATTCAGCTTTTCCCCTAAGGACTTCAAGTGTGGAATAAACTTTTTGTGACTTTCAAGCGCAATCACTGAAGCACCAGTTTCTAGTAATGCCTTAGTCAGGACTCCAGGACCTGGATTGCACTCCATGACTATGTGCCGATGTGCGTTATTTCCCAAGTTCAGCATTTCTGCCAAGATCTCAGCCAATTTCGGGTTGGTTATGGAACTGCTCGAAATGAAGTAGCCAAAGGACGGCCGGCGCAACTTCCTGGGATCTTCATCCGGCAACGGCTGTGGGCAGTAGTCACGGCAAATTGCCCGCCAGTCCTTCCGCAGCGTTGCTCCCAACCTCCCAAAGTAAAAGAGGCCAGCACCTGGCAAAACTGACCTTGTCAACCGCGGAGGAAAAACCGCTGCTGGGCCCCACATCCTTGTCGCAAGGTCCTTCCCAAAGATCACCCAGGTCCACTACTTTGACGAATGCAAAGCACTCTCTTTGAAATATTTTTAATACTAGAATTTTATAAAGAAAGCCATCTGAGGGGCCAGGGAGATGGCTCACTGGAATAAGTGCTTCCCTGGCAAGCGTAAGGGCCTGAGTTCAATCCTGGTTCAGCAAAAAAAAAAAAAAAAAGCCATCTGAACCTAGAGTGTTCTATGTGAGAATTTTTTAAAATTATAAATTCAGTTTAAGAGGTAAGTATTCATATTTTCACATTTGTTTTGGGAACGTGTGGTTTTTAAAGCAGTTTAACTATTTCATCTAAATTAAATTAAGTGGCGTTGAGTTATTTGTAATGTCCCCTTAGTTCCCTCTCAATGTCTGTAGGATCTGAAGTGATGCCTTCTCTTTCCTCCTCTTGATAATGCTGTATGAGTCAGTTCTTTGTCATTAATGAAATGCTGGCATAGGCTTGTTGTGAGGTAAAATGGTTTATTTATCTCACAGTCTAGAGGCTCAAAGTCTGGATGATATAGTTCAGGCTGTGGTGAAGACCCCATGCGGATGGCAGATAGATTTTATACGGCAGGAAAGATAACATCTCAAACTAGCACCCAAGTTTGGGTGGGGCCAGTCTTACTCCTTTTCTAGTAGCCGTCTCTAGAGGAGCACTCAAAGGATTGGTTAAGAACTACCATCTGTGAGCACACCCTTAGTGACCTAAGAACCCCCTACTGCTCCTTGTCTTAAAATTCTACCACCTCTCAACACTGCTATCCTGAGCCCAGTTTTTGAAGGTGTATACAATTAAACTGTTTCCAAATGGTAGCAGTTGCTAATTTGTTTTCAGGCATCAATCTTTATCTCTGCTCTCCCTCTTTTTTCAAATCTATACCATCTCTCCTGTCACTTTTGCAACAGTCCCATTTATTGCTTAGACTGTTGGAATAAACTTATATCAGCATTTCTGATTGTAGCCTTTTTTCTTTTTTCTTTTTTGTAGCCTTTTTTCTGTGTGTTCCATTCAGCTCATTACAAGAAGAAAGAGCTTTCTGAAGGGTAGATGTAATTAAGTCTTTTTGACTTAAAATTTTTTAATGCATTTCTAAGGCCTTCAGGATAAAAATCCTGAATTCCTCCTTCATAGGGAAAGCCATTGATGGCAGAGTGTACATTTGTCTCAGCAGACTCCTGTCCTTCCTGTATTTACTTTACCCCTTTTATCTCTCCCCAAAACATAAGAAACTATCCACTACTATTTGTCTAGAGACATTCTGATATGTTATCTATTTTAAGTTTGAATGCAGCATTCCAGATGGTTGTATTATCAATATTAAGTAGACAAAAAACTGTCTTCTAACTTGTTTGCTGAGGTTATGGTAGTTTTTATTTCACACAATACCTTTTATTTAGTGTGTCTATATACTCACAGTAATATCCAACCTCAAACAGCTTTTATTAGGCCCAGTTTTAATTTATTGCTATCCCAAACCTTATTAAGTAATAGGGGTGCATCTATTTGTTGCCACCACGATACCTAATCAGTTAGCTACCTGATCTCCTGTCCGGTGCTTATCCTAATGCATTTTGTTTCAGCTAAGAAGTTTAGTGTTCATACTGACTAATCACCCAGGTGACTAGATGATGTATATTTCTTTCTTCCAAAACTAGCTAGCCAGTTTGAGGTAAAGCAGTTGTTTCTTTTCTTGTCAGTCCTTTACCTCCTTGTTCCCAGGGGAATCAGGATGTCCCACCTTATTTTTAAAAGCTTAAATACTTCAAAATTTTATTCTCCTGTTGGATTTGAAAGGGGGACTTATTAGCTCTGTCTTGATCTAGCAGGAGCTCTGAAAGTCTATTTGGTTAACACTGAAGATTGGAGGAAATGTGACTCTGTCTGTGTGTTTTAAGCCCCTAAGGTAAGATCAGAAAGCGTCTGGGGCAGTGAGAGCCAAATAGTTGAAGTCATACATTAATTATGGTCATGAATCATTTTTATTTTTAAAGTCTTTACCATTTGACAAGGTTGTTTGCATAGTACAAGTGAAGTTTTAGGCAGCACTTTCACCATTTTAAAGTAACAGGCTTATTTTGTTGATTTCTTCCATAGATTGATAATACTTATACTTTTTAGTAAAAATTGCATGTCTTCTTACCTGAATGGCCTTTAATTAATGTAACATTTTGTTTTGGTATAATTTTTAAATTATAAGTGTAAAAACATCACTGATCGTTAATTTCCCACTGTATCAATAAAAAAATACCAAATCTCTGGGCTGTGCTTTTATATATAGACATTATACATTTACTAGAAAACATAATTTCAGTGCCTTCTTTGTGCTGAATTCTGTACTGAGCACTTAGAATATATACAAGAAGATGAAATTTTTTTTTTTCTCAGATTGCTAAGGAAATAGACAAGGAAATAAATAGGGGCTGTTAAATGTGGTTTTATAATATCATTGTGGTATCACAACAAAGAGGCGTGCTTCCACCTTGTCTGGTATAGGCAGGAAAGGATGTTGTAGAAGTGGCTATACTTGAGTTTCCTCTTTATTATTATTATTATTATTTTTTAATTTATTAGAAATAGAAATTCAAAGTCTTTACTTCTAGGACTACTAACAGATCACCCATGTGTACACTGGACAGGCTCCAAACGTCCACCTCCCCAACTAACTGCTATAGGTTCCCCCATTCCTGAGGCTTGTTCCATTGGTACTATCCAGAAGCCATGTGGAAGTATATGGTGTACATGCGGAGAATGTTTGCTCAAAAGGAAGTCACAAGCTTTGAGCTCCTTCCTCTTGGGGGTATCGAAAATAGAGAGCCTCTTTTAATGAACTAGGAATTTACCTGTTAAAGAGTTAGGTGAACTAACAGGCAGACGTAACAGCTCTTACACAGGTGCAGGAACAAAGAAATAGCATGATGTGTTTGGATAATTGCTAGTAGTTCAATACTGCTGGTAAAATATTATCAAGAGGCTCATTGCAAGTTTGAGACCAGCCTGAGAAACTTAGCATGACTGAAGAATTTAAAAGGACTGAGTATGTAACTCAGTGGTGTAGAGTGCTTGCCTAGACTTGTGAGGCCCTGGATTCAAATCCCTAGCAACACATATACACAAAAAGAATATCAGGAAATGAGACTGGGACTGTAACACAAAAGACCCCTTCACATTTTTTAATGATACCTCTGAAAAAGATTATTACTATCACAGCAGGTAAAGGACACATGTCCACCCAGAGCAAGAGGCACTAGAACTGGAGTATAATCTTTTCTATTGAATTCCTTATGAGTCCTGAGGAAGTTGTTTAATTAATGATCCCATGAGAAAAATAGCTGTGAGAGTTGGCTTTTTTTTTTTTTTTTTTTGCGGAACCGGGGGTTGAACTCAGGCCCTTGCGCTTGCCAGGGAAGCGCTTATTCCACTGAGCCATCTCCCTGGCCCCGTGAGATGGCATCTTTTAGATGACCAGAGACATCCTCAGTAAGTATCAAGCAATTTCCAAAAGTGCATAATATGGCAGGCAATACTTTCAGTGTGTTGTGTCATAGTAATATGGGCAGAGGTATTGGTAATCTTTAATAAAATGGACTTCTCATATATAGTATATGATGACATCCAGGTTAAGATTGATAACCAATTTTTTAAAACAAAGGTAAAATTTACATAAAGTAAAATGTACAGATCATAAATGTAAATTCTGTGAGTCTTATTATACCTCTTAACCCAATCAAGATATGGGACAGTTCCATCATCTGTTCATTTGTTCCGTGTTTTCTGTATTATTCAGTCCCCATCTCACATAGGCAACTAGCCACTCTTGATCAGTAAGAATAGATCATTTTTACCTGTATTTGAACTTTCTGTAAAGGGAATCATACAGAATGTACTTTTTTGGCTTCTGCTTTTCTTCCCCCACTCGGTGTATTTTTGAGATCCCTCTATCTTTTTTTTTGTGCGTCAGTATTACATTACTTTTTAATGCTGAGTAGATTTCAGTATATGAATATACTTCACTTTGCTTACACATTTGGATTATTTTCTGCGAATGTTCTTATACATCTATTCTTGTTGTTTTTTCTGCTCCTTGAGTACATACCTAGCAGTCAAATTGCTAGGCTAGAGGTTAGATGTATGTTTATCTTTAAAAAAAATAATTTTTCAAAATGGTAGTACATTTAACTCACTGGCAGTGCATCTAAGTTCCATTTGATCCACGACCTTGTCAACATTTAGTATTCTCATTTGAATTTTAATTATTTTATCTTGTGTGAAATGGCATCATATTATGATTTTAAATTGTATTTTCTCGATGACTAAAATGTCAAACACATTTTACCATTCTTAGTGGTCATTTTAGTGCTGCTTTTGTGAAATATTTCTCTTACTCCCTTGTTCATTTTTATTTGGGTTATCCTTTTGTTATTGATATATGAGATTTTTAGTATATTTCAGATAGTACTTTGTCAGATAGATGATTTGTCAATATTTTCTACAACTGTGGACTGTCCTTTCATTTTCTTAATGGAACGTTAAATGATCAGACATAATTTTGGTAAAAGTCTAACTTATCCACTTAAAATTTTATGATGAGGTTCTTTTTAATGTTTTCTCTGATAAATATTAGCCTACTCCAAGATTATAAATTCTCCGATATTTTCTAAAATTTTTATGATTTCGGCTTCCATATTTACTATGATCTTCCTCTGTGTGTGTGTGTGTGTGTGTGTGTGTGTGTGTGTGTGTGTATGTGTGTGTGTTGTGAGACAGAGAATGAAATTCCTCCCTTGTTTGTTCAAGATTTCCATACCTTGTTTTAAAAATGTTTGTTTTCTTTACAATTATGTTTCAATACATCTGTTAAAATCAGTTTGCCATGTATCTATATCTATCTCTTTTTATTAATTCCCAAGAGAGAGGAGAGAGAGAGACAGACAGACAGACAGCCATAGACAGAGAGAGACAGAGATCGATCTATTAATATGTTCTTGATTGGTTCCTTTGATGTGTTTTTGTTTGATGTGTGAGATGGGG